GGAGAGGGGCAGCGGGGGTGGGGGTGATGTTAACAGCCTGCGCAGAGGGACTATTGTATCAAGTTAGGAAAGTAAAATCAAATGTATGCTCTTCAAATATCACAATTGCATGTATGTATTGACGAATGAGGTCGTAACCTTAATCCTTGCAACATGCGCGTGCAGTATGCTTACTTTGCTGGCGTTCCCTTTCAAAAGCGAAGCTGTGTGTACGCTAGGCACTTAAATCATAATATCAAAACACGCCAAGTGCCTTTCTCCATTCCAAATACAGTTACAAAAATCTACTAAGCACCTCCTCTGTTATTCTAAGACTCAAAGCTGAAGCGCAACTCAAGCCTCGATCGAAGCAATCACGCTATTATGCACAGAAAAGCAAGGCACAGTAAAGCAATAGAAAACTGATAAATGTCCCATTTGCCTCAATAGAGATCTATACAGCGAGACTGAATACGAGAGGAAACTAAACACACACACAACACCACGGCCCCCCTCGACAAATAAAGTATTCTATGGTTCATGATTTAGGCTCTACGCTACAGCAGCGTTTAGGCATAAGGAGAAGCGGGTTTTAAAAAAAATTTCTTCATGGTCTTTTTAAAACGCTAAGTAATGTAAGGCTTTATCCAACCCTAGGCGCGGTAGGGTAGCCTATATCAGTAAACGTATAGGAAGCGCCTATTGTCTAAGTCCAGGCCTTTTGGCTTAATTGACGCTTTTATGATAGCTCATCCCGGCCGTCTCGGTGAACAAGTTATTGGCTGCTCCGTGTCATGAACAAAGAATAGCAGGGGGGCAGCACCAATGAATGAGGGCTGTTGAAGGCTTCGCACAACTACTTATTTGTATTGTTTCTTTGCCTTACAACAAGTGGCTAGAGTTGTGGTATCGTGGACTTAGCACAGACGTATTAGACGTTATAAGTATGGCTTCAGGCACACATAATATTAAAATCATATTTTGTTACTCTTGAAGCAGAAACGTAGAGGTTGGGCATAAAAAAGAATCAGGTTAATAAATTGCACATATCTACATTATATGTATTATATTAATACAGTTTGAGTAAAACCAGTCAAAGTATCACAAGCGCAATCACGTACGAATCATGTAATATTCGAACGTGTGCGCATTATATATTATAAGAGAATCTACTCAAACAGGAACAGGTTGTTAACAACTACAGCTGTTTATACCTTTGAAAAAAAAAGATAAAGATAAAACCATTTTAGTTCTACGTATTGCATACATGTTTTAAGGGGGAAAACGCTTGAAGGGGTTGCGAGATCCCCATAAGAAGACTGAAATAGAATATCCCTATCTTACACCATACTCCAGTACACAAGGGGTATTAAAAGAAAAGCAAGGGAGGGAATGACATGAAAAGCTTGGTGAAATATGATAAGATAAATAGCTCTATGACGTGGACTGTAATAAACACTACTGTCATGCTGTGTTGCTGTTGGAAACCATTACCTTTACTTAATGACATCGTCAAAGGGTTGTTGTTCAAAGACTCTTGAATTTAGTTTATTATGAGTCCGTAACAATGTCGGTATAAGCCATCTGCTTTAATACTCACAAAATCTACACTTTACAAGTACTGTAGTTATGTATTTTTAAAAAATTATTTTTAGCTTTGGGGGTCAACAGTAGAGTTATAAGTTAGGCTACTGGAGTATTTGGGATCTTCCGCTTGCAAGACGGTGTTTTAGACGGGGCAGCAGTGTTTGGGTGGGTGTTTGACATGTTTAATGGCAAATGATTAGATGCTCTCCCCACTTTATCCCCTTTCTCTACCACCTCTCCATTCTATTCCTTCTTTGTCAAGTTCTACCCCCCCCCTCCTTCCACCCTTCTCTGTGTTTATGACGAGACAGGGATATCAGAGTGGATATTTGAAATGTAAAACAGAAAATGATTAGAAGTTCTCATAGTTTTTCCCCTGTTCTGCCGCCTCTCCAGTCTCCCCATTTTTCTCCTGTTCTTCATTCTCTTCTTCTTCCCCCTCCCCGTCCTCATCTGTGTTTATGACGAGGTAGGAATATCAGATTGAAATCTTGAGATCTAAAATTGAACATGATTAGACTTAAGATGCTTTCATTGCGTTTTTGTCTTTCCATTCTCCCCCCCCCCTCCCCACCTCATCCTTTTCCCCCTCTTCCCTTTCCACCTCATCCCTTCCTCCCCTTTGTCCCCATCCTCCTTTTCTACTTTATCCTACTCCTTATCCTCCTTCTCATCCTACCCCTCCTCCTGCTTCTGTTCTTCCTTTTTAAATTCTTATATACATGTACACATGAAAAGCTGGTCTATTTCTAACATGAAATGTCTATGTGACAATTTGATGACAATTGAAGTTTGAATCTAAAGGTTAAAGATAAGGAAGATCAACTACGAACGAAAAGACAAAAACGTACCTGGGAGCAAAGGTGTTCCTAAATTGATACAAGTGTTATTCATTGTTATATCAAATCAGAAGAAGGCTATATGGGCCACAAAGACAAGACATGATAGAAAAGCCTTATGAAAGTCAGTTCAGCCACAGATATAAGAGTTGAGAGAAAAAAAGAGCTTCTTCAAGTTGTCATGTCTCGATCTTTGAGAAGCTCACACCAAACAAATATAAAAAAATACCTCTTGGTCTTTCGTTTTTTCATTTTCTTTGGGGTTCTGCTAGAGACAGATTAATATGAGGAGGGAAGATCATTTTTCAGGTATCCTCAGCGAAAAATAAATAAATAAAAATAACAACAATTGAAGAACAGGTGAACTTACAGAAAATGATATTCACCTTAGTTTTAGTAAGAGTTTTACAGCATTTGGAACACAATAAGGTCATATAAGTGCCGAAGATTAGAGGTGTTACAAGAGAGTAACACACATAAAAAGAAGGAGGAAAGATAAAGACGATAGTTATTTGATAGGGAAGAAGGAGCAAACCACACCAGAGCACCCGCCAACCACTCACAAACAATATTCACCGTGGACAACCACTTCTACAATTGAGAAAAATAAATGCTTATTTCTTTTTAATTATCATAATCAGAAGCAAAGTTTAGGGCATGCATCGACCCGCTGAGTATAATCATTGTTCCATTGAGCCTCGTGATTTATCTTTTTTCCCCATTCTTTAAAGGAGCGTAAGATATATGGTACACGAATGGTTCTTTCAGGTAGAGAAATCACATCGTAAGAGTCCGTTCACGATTGACTTCAGCTAAAATTTGGCCGAAAATTACCCTTCCCCCTGTCGTCTCCTGTCATCTTTCCCAGGACCCCACCCATCATGTTGACGTCAACCAAAATGTACATGTACATTTAGATAGAACTTGTTCTAATCTAGTTCCTAAAAGTCTGTGCTATTGTGAGAAAACTGTTAATTTTAGCTTTTTGGCAAAAAAATAATATGGTCCAATTTAACTGTGTTAATTATAGGCTTTTGGGCCATGAAAATATGGTCTATAATATTTTTTCTTTCTCTCTTTTCTTTTCTTGTCTGTTCCCCCAACCTTTTAGAGCATTATGGTTGTCGTCAACTTTCTAAGGACCC